TCTTCTGGCACACTGCTTACTTTATTCATTTTTTTTTTTCATTTCTCTTTCTCTTTTACCAAACAACACCAGCAGAAGTTCTTTTTAGATGTGTAAGATGACCTTACACTTAGACATTATTTTTTAAAAAGTTTCTAAACTACATGTCTTGTGCAATATTTATATTTTGTTAATTTACATTTTAATGTACACAATATTTATATAGTATATCAGCAGGGTTGTGTAGTCATTTTGCTTTCAGTCCTTTCTCCTCAATGCTACTGTCCATATGTATGGGTTTTTTTGGGAACCTATACACAAAGCAAGTGCATCAGAAAACACAGTAGGCAGTTCCGCATTCTTTTTATACTTATGGTTTCAGTTTAGATATGCAGATTACAGTAGGTCATGTTAATGCCATGAAATGGTTTTAAGCAAACAGACAGATTAAGTCTACTTAACACAAAAACTGATACAGTGACATAGCTGATTGATAAATAAAATTTTCAACATCTTGCTGATATATTACTCTTATAGAAATATAAAGCCTTTTTTCTTTACTAGTTAACTTTAATAGTTGCTGTTAATCTCAGATGCCACATTTAGTACATGTTCTGTATATATCGATGCTCTTGACATGCACTGGGGTCATACATGCATGTCTGTCATTTTATGCGTCTGGATTTGACTGTGATTTTTGTTCCACATTGTGCTCTGGTCATGTTTGTCTTCTTGTTATCTTTATCTGATGTATGCCATCTTTTTATTCCTTGACTGAACTTCTACATGGCTATCGTAAACCCAAAGACCAAATGTAAGTTACCTTTCCCTTTTACGCTTGTGATTGATTGATTGTGACTAGGTTGTGTCATGCAAAATTAGATAAAACCAGCTTTCAGTTTTTAAAATAAGAGCAAATGCAGGGAGAAATGTAAATGATGTAATGGAAATGCAAAAAGGTCCCAAACAAGAAACCTTTCAAGGTATATTGTTTGCATTTGTTGTCTACATATACAGTATGACTTTATGCTAACTAAGCACTGTAAGTGGAAAAATGCCAACAAGCTGCAGTAACTGTTTTGACTCTAATTTCAATGAAGAAACAAATTAAAGATTAAAACTTGAAAGGAAGAAATATAAATATTCTCCAAAGCTTAGAAATATGTTTCTCCACCACCTGGGCCAAGCACACAGACTTTACAACAGTGAGTTTCATTTTGGCCTGTCATCTATTTAAGTCATGGAGGTAATGTTCGTGACAGCTGATCTAAGCCTGCTGTTTGCCATTTTAACCAGAAACACTGACAGTCAGCACCAGCTAAAACCAGGAAGCTTCTTCCTGAACATGCTATGCTAATGAGTGTCGGAATTCAAAAGTCTCTTGTATTGGTGTGCCCAAGTCATTTCTCAGATGTAATGATTGTTAACAATTAGTGGAGCTATACATATACTGATACAACTCCGGCATCCATATAAGGAATTGATTGCCTTGGAGGCGTATGATTCCAATGGGTAAAACAATTTGGATCTGGTTCATAAATGGATCCTTTCACACTGCAGGTTTAATGGTTTAATACCAAGAGAGATTTTCACTAGACTTACTTTAAAGCTGGCATTAATGCAGTGAAAATAGAGACCTTATTTTTGAATATTTTAGGCGGTCCAGTTTAAAGAATGTGTCCGACCTGTTTGTGATGGGAGGGGCTTTGATCCTGGAGTCAACGGTGCTTCTTCATTGGCTGGAGCGACAAGGATACTGGCCAGTAGGAATGACTGGCATTTCCATGGGAGGATATGTGAGTCACCAAAACAGCACACATTTTCTCATGTCTTATATTAAAGCAGTTTCTCTTTGATTTACTTTTATCATACCCAATAAAAATGTATTCCACAAGTGTTCCACTAAATAACTAATCAGTTTGCTTGTCATGCTCCACGCCTATTGTCACTAGTGCCTTACTGTAATTTTGAAATGCAGCAGGGTCATAGATAGAGTATTTTATTAATCCCACAGGAAAACAGCAGTGTTGCCCCAGACAGTTCTCATTAGTCATAGAAACAATGAGAGTAAGAAACAATCAAGGTAATGACAGTGAAGGTAAGAAGCAGAACAATTAAAGTTATATACAAAAGCTTGATAGAGTAGTGTATAACATATAAATAAATTGAAATTAAAGATATAGAAACGGAAGTTATTCTCATAGTTACTGTATACTGTGCTGAATATACACTGTACAGTGTTATGCTATTACAGTAAATGTACATTGAATGTGTATAAAATCTGAATAATTATACAATACCCAAAGATCATATTTTCACCTGTTGTCTTTGTGTCAAGATGGCGTCATTGGCTGTGACAAATTGGCCAAAGCCCATTCCTTTGATTCCTTGTTTGTCCTGGTCCACCGCCTCTAGTGTCTTTACCACGGTAAGACATTCTTTCTACCTGACATAGATCATTAAGGGCAAATTGAATTATCAGAGCGGCAATAGAGACATAACCAAACATTACAGTAAAGGTGCCTTAAGTGTTTTTCCCCTTCTTTCTTGTTGATGGTTGTGCTACCAAGCTGAAGCTTGATTAGATAAATTGTACAAATTGCAACCTGATTGGATTATCAAGATCACCAAGGAACAGACTTGCTTGACTAAAACAGCCTTCCTATTCATATAGCCTCTGTAGAAATAGACTACAATTTGAGGAAATATGTCATTTGTACATGTGTAGCTTTGAATGTTTCACCTAAAAGTCAGCCAAAGGACAGCCCTGCAATGATTAATTGTGAAAAAAACTTTGAACTTCAACTTTTGCTTTTTTGCTTTATGGCTAAAATTGGAGCCGTGTGTTTGTTTGTTTGTGTGTGTGTCTGTGTGTGCATGCATGTGTGTGTTTTATCACTTACTGTTCCTCAGTAAGTATGACCCTGTCACTGTGCATGTACATGTGTGTAGGGTGTGCTGAGTAAAGCGGTGAACTGGAGAGAGCTGGAGAAGCAGTATGCCATTAACTCTGTGTATGAAGAGGAAATCATTAACCTGCTGGAGTACTGTGGGGTAGGTCATCCTTCAAGACTTCTTGACGGTCATTTGCTCACTGGACCAGGGTGGTATTGCTGGCTATAAGGTTACAGATTTGTGCCCTAGAAAGATATTAAAAATACTAATGAGTTGGCATAAATGTGGAGGCTGTTATTACCACATCAGTTAGCCAAGTGTCAAATTGATCAGTCAAAATAAAAATCATCAGTTGTTACAAGAACAATTAATAGCTGGTGTCATGTAAAGGTGAACATTTACTTGTAGCTTTACAAATGATCACATTAGCAAACTTTTTTTCATTATGAATTTTTTTTTGTCATATAATCAGATCACAGAAATCTTTAAGCTTTGGTAAGATGTGATGGGCATTAGTCATTTTAATCATAGAAACATACATCAAGGAATTGTCAGTTTAAAACAAGGGATTGTACAGACTTGTATAGATCTGTTGGTATAGGCTGTAATGATTTGGTTCTTCAAGGAATCTCTTAACACTGAGTGCCTTGTTTTTATCCCTTTGCTGCTGTAGCTTTGTGAATTTCCCCGCTGTGGGACTAATAAAGGGTCTTGTCTTATCCAAGAAACAAAGCAACAACATGGATTCTGCTGGACAATTAATCCTCCAATACCAAAGACACACATGAACACACACATGAACACATGAGTATCTGTAAGTACATTGTTTTGTGGTCTGTGCCAACTGTCAGGCGGATTCCTTCAAGATGGGTCCAGAACTTGTCAAGAATGTAGACTCTTTTGAGCATCTGCTGGGTCTGCCTGGAGCTGACAGAGCGTCAGTTGGCCAGTCCCCCAAAGACAGAGGGGAAGCTGAGGCTGTACAAGGCTTGTTGGTTGATGGAGGCCCTGATGGCACTGGGCCTGGAGACAGAATAGACCACTTATTTTCATCACTGAACGGCCATGGGACACGCTTGGAAACTCTGCCAAGGTAAAAAATTATAATTATTGTGACTAGCAGCTACTTACGGGTGTGCGTTGCATTTACCAAAATAGAAAAAAAATGGAGCATGTTATCTCATAATTATGAGATAATGCAGGAGATGGAACGCTGCAGAACTTGTCTGAAAATCATCAGGTTTTAACAAATTCTTTAGCATCAAAGTAATTCGGTGACAGTTGTCAGTACATCCAATAGTGCATAGAAAAACTGAACTAGTAACATAATGTTTCAAAATGTAAACAAATATAGACTACAAACAGGCCTCAAAGTTGCTACCTGCAGTGTAACTCACTAGGCTACGTGTACCGAGCAGGAGTTGGAAAGCTTCAGAACCTGAAGAAATCATAAAAGCCCACTGCTTCTCAAGCAGGTTCTGAAGCTTTTGGGGGTTTCCCAAGAGGTACATGAAGGACTCTCAGAACATGAAAAGCAAAATCCACTGGTCTGATGAAACAAAGATTGAACTATTTGGCCAGAATTCCCAGCATGTGTGGAGAAAACCAGGCACTGAGCATCACCTTACTAATACCATCCCTTCAGTCAAACGGTGGTAGTGGCAGCATCAGGCTGTGGGGATGTTTTCTGCAACTGTGACTGAGAGACTAGTCAGGATAGAGGGAAGGATGGATGCAGAAAAATATAGAGCAACTCTGAATGAAAACCTTCCCCAGAGCACTCAGATCTCAGGCTTGGGTGAAGGTTTACATTGAGTTTACATAGAGTTGACTCTACCTGCTGAGGAGACTTGGATCCTTTGGAATGTGCAGGATGTTCCTCAAACTGTTTTGTGACTCTCTGGTGGCATCAGCCATCATTTATGCTGCAGTCTGCTGGGCCAGTGGCATGACAGTGGTGTACAGAAAGAGACTGGACAAACTGATAAGGCCAGCTCTGTCCTGGGGTGCTTTCAAGATTTATTAGAGGTAGTAGGAAACAGGAGGAGGATGGCCAAATTGTTGAGCATTAGGGAAGACTTTGCACAAATCGCACACACACACTACTCACTAAACACATACTATAATTTACATAAATATACTTACTAATATATTTGTTCATATTTATTATTGTGGTTGTAAGAAGTAGTAGTAGTATACAAAAGTATTAGTATTCTTACATATTCAAGATGTAATTCCGGAGAACAGACCTTTGTGGTACCCCATTATTTATCCCAAGGGAGGTTCTTTTGACACGTCTGTACAGATCATCTGTGTTCTATCTGACATGTAATGTATGAAACTGGTTCAGTACTAATGTCCTAACCAAGGCAGTGTAGTGTAACCGAAATGCTTCAGCTTCAGTTTCTTGTAAAAGATTAATGCTTGATTTTGTTGGCCAATAACTTAAACACATTTTTGTACTGCTTCTAAAGATAAAAAAAACAAAACCCTACTTGGCATGTAAGGTGTCTTTTCTCTACACTGTTGTCTGAGTTTATTTCACAGACTACAGTGTGGCAGAGGTGATACAAATCTTGTTTAACTGATGTTTTAATTTTTAGGATGCTACTGTTACAGAGTCTACACAGTGACAGTTTCTCCATTTAGTTTTCATCTAAAGGATTTTGTTTTCTTTTTCTTAGGAACCTTCATGCAAGTAACACACTACTTGCAAAGAGGACAGATTCAGCCAAATGGTGTCGTCCGTCATTACACAGGGACTCCATGAGCTTCATGAAGGGAGTGATGGACGAATGTACACACATGGCCAACTTCTCTGGTAAGATTAATGGTGCAGACAAAGATTTACAGCTCATTTTAATGACTATTATAACAGAAACGGGACAAAGAAAAGCAAATATCCAAAAATAGTGTTACAGGTATCAAATCAGAAAACCCTCAAACCTTTTTAGGATACAGTTATGTTGTACAGAACAACATAATACAAATTTGGACCACACAGTCACACACTTGTGGAATGTTTGTCATTAAATTGCATATTACAGAGAAAGCCAGTAAGATTACAAGCATCACGTGACTCAAACCCACGTCTCACATTTTGAAGAAACACTACCAGTCTCTTAACCGGTTTGAGCTGCAAACATAAGGGAGATTTACACTGCTTTAAGGTCTATTATGCATGTACAATATACTGAGCATACAAAATACCTGTGGTAACTTTTTTTGACCACAAGGTGGTTTCATGGTCACCTGAAGTCTTCATCTGTCCAAAGCAAAGTGCTTGGACCAGCATGTCATGTATATACAACTGACTCTTGCTTACTTCAGATTCTGCAAAAACCATATGATCATTTGGAGTTTTGGGGGCAAGAAATATGAGGGTCTGGTGCCTTGTAATGAAGAAACATGTCTCCCAGTCCAGCAGTGTGTTTTTAACAACAGTGGAGGTCTCTGTGCGGGGATTGTTGAAAATACTATTAATAGAGAAAATGACCAACCTTATTGTATAAAGATATTAATGATCCTGGAGACTCAGTTGTTCAGGAATAGAGTTTTGGATTTCATTTAACTGTAGAAATTTGTTGGACAGCCAGCACTTTTTTCTGACAGACAACAAAATAACAAATGAAAGTTGGGACATACATTTGCATGACATTCACATAATCATGGTACTGGTATATGTCCATCATTTTGTCCTAGTTCCTGTAGACACCAGTCTGATCATCGTGGTCCAGGCTAAAGAGGATGCCTACGTCCCTCGTACGGGGGTCCTCAGTCTCCAGGAGATCTGGCCAGGATGTGAAGTCAGATATCTGAATGGAGGACACATCAGCGCATACCTGTTTAAACAGAACGTCTTCAGGTAAACTACTGACTAAATATTAAAGTATCTGTTTGGTGATGCTGTGGAATAGTTATTAATTATGATTTTTTACATACTTTGAATTAATTCTAATTTGGCATTAAGTTATTATTAATAATAGTAAATAAAACAGGGCCACCAAGCTTTTTCTCCTGAGCTACATAGTAAACAGTCATCAACATCACATCTCAATCTGAAGTGCATAAACTCATAGAAAAGGGACTTATTTAGTTTAATAATAGGGAACACGAAAAGCCAGTTCTATAGTGTAAATAAATTGACATTTACATAAAGAAAAGAGGAAGTGGAATATGGAGGAGATGGTAAATTAATGGAGGTCGGTGTAGGGACATTACAGTGCTGGAGAGAACTTGGACACTGTCTCGGACTTGGAGACATTATCCATTAACTGTAAACCTTTTTATTCTCCTATAGAATTTTCCTCATTTATCCTGGTTGGTACTTATACCTCCTGGGCCACGGAAAAGTAGCCACGGTCATTGGAGGAGGCCGTAGCCCCCTGCTCTCTTGCGGTGCTCTGCGGTGTCGGCCCGTGTGCGGTGTTCCGGCTTTATTCTGCCTTCCTAGTCAGTCCTGTGTCCATCGCGTCAGAAAGATGGTGTTCTCCCTGGAACAGCGGATAGTGATTGTGGAAGGCTATGTGCGAAGCGGATCGATTAAGGAAACGCAAGAGGCCTTCGCCGACAGGTACTCAGGAACAAAACCACCAGCTAAACGTTGTATTCAGAGTCTGGTTCGGAAATGGCACCAAACCGGCTCTGTCGGAAACATGAAGAAATCGAGGCCTCCGTCGGTCCTGACGCCCGAAGTCGTCCGTGACATTCAGCAGCGGATCGCAAGTGGCCCCCGAAAATCAACCCGGAGGCTGTCTCAGCAAGTTGGGGTATCACGAACGACGTGTCGTCGAGTGCTGAGATCTCTGAACCTCAAACCGTACCGGTTGACGTGTGTGCACGACCTGAAAGAGCCCGACAAAGCTAAACGCGTAAATTACTGTAAGTGGCTGCTGACTGTGATTACTGACGGACATGTCAACCCACTGCTGTACTTCATGACGGACGAAGCTTGGTTTCATTTATCTGGTCACGTAAATACCCAGTGTACGAGGTACTGGTCCGCAGAAAGCCCCCACTTGACTCACGAAACACCACTTCACGACCAGAAAATTGGCGTTTGGTGCGCGGTGTCGGGGACGCGAATAGTGGGTCCGATTTTCTTCGAATCAGCTGTGAATACCGCGGTTTACCTGGACATCTTTGAACAATTTTACCACCAACTAACACCAGAAGAAAAAACGTGCTGCTTTTTCCAACAGGATGGGGCAACATGCCACACCTCACACGACGCACTGGCGCGAGTTCATGAACTGTTTACGGAGGAGCGAACTGTGAGCAACGGGCTATGGCCACCGCGGTCCCCGGATTTGTCCACATGCGCGTTTTATCTGTGGGGAAAGTTAAAGCAGAAAGTGTACGCCAGCAATCCACATACCCTGGATGAGCTCAAGGAAAACATCACGAACACTATCCGCAGCATCACTGTTGAAGAGTTACGAGCAGTATCGGCCAACATGCTGCGACGTGCCCAAAGGTGCATAGACGCGAATGGGGACCACTTTCAACATCTGTTGTAACTTGTGGGTAAGTGAATAAAAACAATCCACTTGCTCGTTCATCTTGTCATACTAGCCTCTCCTACTGTAACTGAACTTTCGTCATTTGTTCAGGGTTGGAGTGCCGGACGCGGGCTGCTGTTCACCCACATGTCTGAATCACAAATGCAATGCAGCCCCTAGCCAACAGGATAATAAGTATGGAAGAGGAACACCCAGATCCCCAGCTTATTATTTTGGCGGATTTTAACAGAGCAAACCTCACTTATGAATTGCCCAAAAACAGACATGTCAAGTTGTCATAGCAAGGACAAAAACGCACTGGACCATTGCTATACTGTAAGGACACTCTGTTCCCCCTGCAGACACAGAGACAGTGTCTTCCCCCGGGCTATTACACTCATGAACAGCTAGTCTGTGTTTGCTCCTTTAACTTGTGCTTCTTGACTTGTATATATTTTGTTTTCATTGCTGTGCACATGGGGGGCCCATTGGTCTGGAGTCAAATTCCTTGTATTTTAGATAATACTTGGCAATAAAGTTTATGATTATGTTCGTTTTATGTGGACTGTCACTGTGATCATATACTGTCTGTCTTCATTTACATGAACGGGGTGAAATTCTTTTTACATGGGTAAAGGAACAGATTCAAACTGAGACGGTGTTTCACAAACTACTAATTCTTTTTTCAGGCCGCACTTTACTGTGTTACAGTTTTTGAGTTGTTTCTTTGTTTGATTTCCAGACAGGCCATATACGATGCATTCAACAGATTCTGCCTCAAGTATCCCAAGCTGCACTAGCCATCGCGGACAGAAGCCCCTTTCCTTCCTGTAACAGTGCCAGGACCAGTGGCTGAACATTGGAAAAGCATTGCCAGTCCACCAATTAGCAATCTCAGCATGAAGTATGGCAGCTAAGATCTCTTCTACCGAAACATAATCTGAGATTTACAGGCAGTCCTTAAAGGTCAGCTCAGCACAGTGACTTTGTTATTCTTTCCATTTCCTACTTGGTTTGTGCCTTGGTAAACAAATGTCCTGTAACTGACTGAAACTGTAGCAATATCAACAATATTGTGAAAAGCTCCTGCCAGTACGTGGTTTTAAAAGGACCGCTCAGACCTATAGTTCCACTTTGTAAGCTGGTGTTAATCGATGGTAACACTGTAATTTTCACTGATTCATTGTTGAGCACCAGCAGGCTGGATGTGCCCATCCTGATATGGCTGTGTAAGGAACATTTCACCATTTCACCAAACATGACAAATTTCACAATAATGGAAATGAAACATTAATTTTACAATGCTTAATTTTCAAAAATTCAAACTTTTTGGAGCTTTTTTTCTGCAATAACCATTCAATTCATCTACATTCAGTAATTAAGTCTACATACACTGCTCAAAAAACTAAGGGAACATTTTAATCACACATCACATCTTGATCAAATTATTCAAGCAGAAAATCTTCACTAATGTACAGTGTATAACTTGTTCAAAACAAAATGACATGGTAATGGTCAACGTGAAACCAAAATCATCAACCCATGGATAGCTGGATTCATATTCACAAAATGTAAATCCCAGGTTCATCCAAGTTGCATACATTTTAACGCAGCAACCCACAGTGTGACTCAGAAGTGTGTATGGCCCCCATGTGCCTATATGCAGTGGTGTCCCAGGGGATCTCCTCCCAGACCTGGGTCAGAGCATCACTGAGCTCCTGGACTATCTGTAGTGGTACTTGGTGGCATCAGATGCATGGATACATAATGTCCCATAGGTGCTCATGTGGATTTAGGTCAGGGGGACGTGAGGGCCAATCAATGGCAACAATGTCTTCATCATCCAGGAACTGCCTACACACTCTGGCTACATGAGGCCGGGCATTGTCCTGGGCCAGGAGGAACTCGGGGCTGATTGTACTAGTGTAAAGTCTGACAGTCGCTCTGAGGACTTCATCCTGGTACCTGACTGCTGTCAGGGCACCGCTGGCTATGACATGGAGGTCTGTGCGGCCCTCCACTGCCTCATGCTACCAGTAGTGACAAGGACACTAGCCAAACACAAAACCTGAGAAGAATCAGTCAGGAAGGATCAGTAGAGGACATCTGGCCACCACATGCAAAACCATTCCATTGTTGGGGACTTATCTTTCTTTTGCCTCTCCACTGCACCTGTTGTCACTTTCATTTGCATCAAAGCAGGTGAAACTGTTTCATAGTCATTTGTGCTTCCTATGTGGACAGATTGATATCACTGGGGTTTACCTGACTTGATGTTATACTGTGATCAAGTGTTCCCTTAATTTGTTTTGAGCAGTTCAGTAATTTTTTTTATTGTTTATGGCATAGTCCACCATTCCCACACAGGATTAAAATGAGAGCCTACACAAGACATTTACGCTTAGAGACCAACTAATACATTGGCAGACCGATTATCAGCTGATTTAAGGTAATTGCAGACAAATCTTATCTATGTTTATAATGCCCAATAAGTAAAAAGAAAAAGTGATGAAAGGCTAAAATTAAGTAAATAGGTGGTTGAGCTGTTTTATTACCAGTCACATTGTTTATTGTTTTGTTCATGATGCCATGTTTTCAAGTGACAACATAAATAGGGATGCTGTTTTCAACTCAGTTGTGTTTGTATATCAGCAGTTCACAACAACAATCATCCCAGGGCCCTTTACAGAGTAAGGTCTAGACCATACAGTATTATAGAGGAAAAACCCAAAAAATCCTCCTTGAGCAAGCATTTGGTGACAGTGGAGAGGAAAAACTCCCTTTAATGGAAGAAACCTCCAACAGACCCTGACTCTTGGTGGCTGAAAATACAAGTGGTCACATAACTGCTTTGCAGCAGCTTGTTCAAGAGTTTTAAAAATAAATGGGAGATTGGATATCGGTCTATAATTAACCAGAACACCTGGGTCAAGAGTAGGCTTTTTGAGTAGAGGTTTAATTAAGGCCTGTGGAACATAGCCTGTTAATAGAGAGGGGTTAAGCAGATCTAATATGGATGTGTTGATTAGGGGTAAAACGTCTCTGAGCAGCCTAGTCAGGATGGGGTCTAAGAGACACGATGATTTAGATGAAGCATCTGTTGAGGTTAACTCAGAGAGATCTATGAGAGAGAAGCCGTCTAAGTATAAATGAGGTCTTAGAGGATCTGATTTTTTTTTTTAATTGTGATTTTATTTGTAAGCTCAAAGTCATTACTGCTGAAGTCTAAAAATATTAAACTCAGCAGCACTGTGTCTTTTTTTTTGCTGCATTTCCACTATCAAAACCTGACGACCGGTATACCACCTACTTCCTTTAGCCATTACTAAGCATAGCCTCTGGGGTTGACGTGGACCGTCCTGCTTTGTTTTTCCAATGTAATTTTTCCTCTGTTGGTCTCTGTTTAGAGGAGGGAGGGGCTGCTCCTTTCTTACACACACAGTCATCTGTGTGTTTACACACTGTGCTTGTAATGCTAATGTTTGAGGTGCAAAGACATGGACATTTAACCAACCACTGGTGACTGCTCTACATGCACGCAACCCCTCCCTCATGTTCCTGGTACTTGATTTTAGTATTACCTCCTGAGGGATGCTGAAATTTAGCTCCCAGAATGCACCTCCAAAGTGGGGGCACCACGGTGGAGACAAATGCAGAACCCATGACGGGTGTTACTCAGCGCGACAGTCAGTAGGTTGCTATAATGGAAAAAAAACCCTTTTGTTAACCTAGCTACAGTGCTGAAAAGAAACCTGGAAACTTTTCTGACTTAGTCGAGCGCTGCCTCCTTTCCAGTTTTCATGATGCCAGCTTTAGGGAGCAGAGCTGCGAGCTGTACCACGGGGCCTCCTCTGTTCCACTGGTCTAAGAATTCAGAGGTGCAACAGTATCAAGTGTTGTATGCAGGGAGGCCAGAGCATTATCAACAAGAGTATTGACTTGTGTGGGAGTAAAGTTAAGGTGGCCGCCCTCCATTGTGTTGGCACATGGCACTGGAGTAAATAATGATGGAATTATTTCCTTAAACTTGGTAACAGCACTATCAGTTAGACATCTACTGTGGTGGAACTGTTTCCCACATAAAGTATAATCCATTAGTGTAAATTCAAAAGTTATTACCATAATTTCCAGACTATAAGCCACTACTTTTTTCACACGCTTTGAACCCTGCGGCTTAAACAATGATGCAGCTAATTTATGGATTTTTACGAGCTAACGAGCTTCATGCCGCCAATACATTTAGCCTCGTCACATCAGACCAATGAAATTAGTGAACGGGTCACACTGGACCAATGAAACTGTTCGAATTAAATCAAATGCACTCACACTAAATTCTTCAGATTAGTCATTTTGCGCTTCATGCACACACCCTCATCATGGAAAACACACAAAGAAATGCATATGATGTAGCTTTCAAGTTAAAGGCGATCAATCTGGCTGTCGAAGAAGGAAATAGAGCTGCTGCACGTAAGCTTGGCATCAATGAATCGATGGTGAGACGTTGGAGACGGCAGCGTGAAGACCTGACTCAATCCAAAAATCTTTCTGTGTACACCAGCGGCTTATAGACAAATGCGGCCTATATATGTACAAATTTATTTTTCTTTTTAAATTTTAGTGGGTGCGGCTTCTATTCAGGTGCGCTCAATAGTCTGGAAATTACGGTAGAAAATGGTCAGACAGAAGAGGGTTTTGGGGAAAAACTAAGTGTTTAGTTTCGATGCCATGTGTCAGAACAAGATCAAGGGTGTGATTAAAACAGTGAGTGGGTTTATTTACAGTTTGAGAAAAGCCACTTGAGTCTAATAATGAACTGAATGCACTGAGACTGTCACTGTCATCTACTTGAATATGTCACCCACTATGATTATTTTATCTGTACTAAGCACTAAATCAAAGTCTGAGAATTCAGTTAAAAACAAATTATCAATTAATAAATGGACATTTATTTGCTTTTAAATTGTGCATTAATAATTTTAATGTTAAAGTAGCAAAAATAATACAAGATTAGTAAATTTGCCAATTCATAATTCCCTTTCATTTAAAAATGTGTGAGCAGTGTGCCACCTGAAAAAGAAATCGAGCCAAGCCTCTGGTCAGCTGGAGGTGGCACGCTGCTAAACATACAGTATTGCTCAGTTAAAGTGATCAGAAAGTGGCAACTGTAACGCAACAGATGAATTGTGAGATGGAATATGATACATTGCACAGTGGTAAATAAAATGAGATGTATGTTTTTTCAATAGATGTTTGCAGTTTCACTTTAAAATTTAAATCTTATCAATCACTGAATTATTATCAACATGTTGACGATGTTGGTCGACTAAAACAAATCAGGAGGGTGGATGGACAGTTCAGGACCCTGTGTTTCTTAATAAGCCTAAGAAAACTCAGTCCTTGTGATAGTCTGTCCTGTGTTGTCTTTGTCTGTTTTCATGCTGTAACCAGTGGATTTCATTTATGGATAATAAAAGTGCAACTTGTTTACAAACTTTAAGCTTCCTAGCTAAAAATCATGTGCCATTTTTACTGCATGCTGCACATTTTAGATTTGTGGATGTTTTTTTCCTGCTCTTCCAGGCTGCTCACGGCATTGAAGTCAGACTGTTTGGTAGTGTAATCTAGCAAACATAAGTGTAAGAGCAAACATATTTACAAGTTCAGTCTGTCATAAAACAGTGCAAGTGCAGGCTGATTTGAAACTTTTGTAAATCACCTCATAATTACAACTAAATTACAGCTTTTGATGGAGATGAGATTTGCTGGGATGGGTTACATGGCTGAAACAACTTTATTTTCATATTGGTCAAGAACACACAAAAACCAGTGTCTATCTGAAACGGACAGGATATGGTTTGGAAAAAAGGCTGGTTTTGATGTAACATGTCAGTGATTTGGAGTAAATTAGATAAATGCACCAAACCATTGGGATGGTCCATTAAATACATTTTTTAATTGTACGTGTACTGTAACTACATCGAATTTTGACGTACTCTGTCCACGCTACACTGGCATCCCTGGACCTCCTGTGTCAAACATGTATCAAGCATCACTCCCTCGCTGTTTTGGAAATCTGCTGGGAGAGCAGATTGTGGGTGTGTTGTTACCATTTCAGAATCCACAGATGTGGCTTCTTATAGCTCAGAACATTTGTCAGTGGAAACTATTTGCCCATAAACTATTTCACAGCAGCTATTTTGACTTGTCATGACAGGAAAAGCACAGGTGGAATCAATTACAGTAACGATGGCTTAGCTTCATTACTGCAGGCACAATAGCAAAACCCTGGACATGACCAATCTAAATGATTGTCATTAATTCCACCTGCTCTTTTTCTGCTGTAATGTCAAAACATCTGCTGCAAAAAGGTCTATAAAGCATAAAAAAGTACAACAAAATGATTAAGATTTTTTTTTTTAAATGAAAGAATATACATATGCAAATATAATCAAATCACATACTGAATTAAAACCTAATGTATAAAAGAAATAAAAGTTTTAAGATAGGATTTCAGTGAAGGAGCCAACCCAACATGCTGCAGTAACTTGTTTCAGAGTCTGGGGGCTACAGCTGAGAAGATGCATCGCCTAGTTATACATCCCACCTCCTCCATGTTAGTGGTTGAGCCACACTAAAAATTCAAAGTACAAATACAATTTTTCACAGGCGATTTCTGTGGTTTTTGGTAGACATCACACTAATGTGTATAATCACTCATTTTTCTGGCGTTTGTTTTTAATAAGTTATTTGATGATATAACAAGAGGTGATTTGACATCTTTGATTGGCGGTCCGATGCCGTCGCTCCACTTCTCGTCACTACTGCGCAGAATCTGGTTGCAAAAAACCAAGATGGCAGCCAAGGTATTCATGATATTTTGGCTTCATTTTTGCATGGTGGAGGGAAGTGGTGATGCCATGTTCATCATATATATTTCAATGGTTATTAAGTTATCCTCATAACGAACAAAAACATTCAGGTTTTTTTTATTGAAAGTCTTCACCACAAAGCAAACAGCAATAAGAAACATTAACATTTTTTAAGGAAAAAAAAAAGTCCTTATGTAAAAACAAATCACAGCTCAATACAACTGAATTGGCGCCCTTTAGTATTTAAAATTGTACATATTTAGAAAATATCTGAGATGTGTGTGTGAACATGTTCTTGGACAAGACCAGTTATGAGCTATGCCATGTCAGGTTCCGTTGAGGTTTCTGTCTTCTGTAGTTTAACTGGAGTACCCGAGCAGTCTTCACCCTGAGCAAGAGAGCACAAGCAATTACGTTCTCACACTGTAGACGTGCTACAACATATAAAGATAAAATGGATCAAAAGACGGTATGTATTTAAAAAAAAAAAAAAAAATCCTCTGAAAAATAAAAGCTGTCGCTAAGCAATTAAATGACCACTTACACAAGAATGACTTGTTTGAGCTAGAGAAGCCCAAATGCAATTTATTTGGCCCTGATACCGATCCCTTTAGCATTAAGAATCTGCTGATAATGATATTTACCCACAGAAAGAAAGAAAGTCACTTCGGCTTTTCCCATTTAGGGGTCGCCATGTCGAATCGTCACACTGACTCCCATGTTGTCGAACCCGGGCTGCAGCGGCGAGAGCGCTGCACCTTAACCGCTAGCCTACCAGGGACGGCTAGCATTTTGTTTTAGTAACATTTGATAGTACTCTATGCAAAATGTAGCTGAGACTGATGATGTGTTTAGTTTAGCAGAAATTTGGTCAAAAACCAAATTGTTGGGCAAATTCAAATTTGACCTAATGATAATGTTGGAACTCACCAAAGTGACTGACAGTTCATCACGAGGCAAATATGAATGTTAACTTTGTACCTAATTTAAAGGCAATCCGCCCAGTTTGTGAGACATTACATTCAGCACCACATATTCCAACCTTACAGTGACTAGAGGGAAAATCAGGGTATCAGCAAAGTCAATAGGATTTAACATCTTGCAACCTTGAATGTCTCCACAAAATGTTATGTCAATGCAAGCAACAGTTGCTGGGGTATTTCAGTGTCGACCAACCAACAACCCAGCACAGCCATCCACAAAAAAAATGTGTTCTTACCCTCTTTTTATAGTAAATCCTCCATTTGTGGTACTCCTTGATCACCACTTCTATCCTTTGCTTCCAGTAGCTGCCCTCTAATACAATCGCCTATTGATATAAAGCAGATGTACAATACCAACCCTGAGACTTGGTCTACCAAACAAGTCACACATACATTCAACCTCAGCAATCTACAATACAAAAATCAAAACTCAGCAATACAAACAGTGTCAGTGAATCTGTAATAACATGTATTTTAGAACCCCAGCTTGTAGTTCTATAAACCAATTATAAATCATTTTAAAAATTCACAAATCACTCACTTCAGGCTTTCGATGCATGTCGGCCTCAGAGCCCTCCAGCGGGGTGACAAACCCACACACTGGTTTTTTCTTCTTCTCCACATCTAAACACAGCAATTTCAGAGCAACAAAATCCACATGCACATTTATGTCTGTTTGTTTAGAAAAACATTATTATCTACTGTTTTATTTGCCATGGTGGCTTATTTCAGCCAGCTAGATAAAGTCAATCCTATTCACTTTCTAATTAATGATGGCTAACATTTGTTTTTTGAAATTCCAGTTTCTGTTGCATTTTGTAGTAATGTCATTCTTTATCATGAGTGGAGAGATGTGAGTGAGTGATGGACTCACATTGAATGAACCAAGCTCTCCAGATCACATTGTTCAGACGGATCTTATCTCTCCACAGCAGTCGCAGACCCTTGAAAGACTTCCACTTTGGTGAGACTATCTTGCCACTGTAAAAGAGAAAGAAATTATAGTTTTGGAGTTGTTTTGTGACATTCTAAAAATATATGGAAAATGGGTAGGGTTAAATGCACCACTTTTTATGTTAGGAACAGTAAAAGAGAAAGTGCACAGAGAAATGACTAGATACTCTTAAGAAAAAAAAAACAGGATGCAATGGGAAAATGAATCAGTAGCCTCACTGCCACCCCTGCTGGAAACCTGTCCTGATTTTGACTAATAGTGTCCAAACTGCACTGCCAGGTTGTTTGTCTAGTTGTTTTGCATGCTTTTCCAGTGTCCCTCAGCCTGCTGAGTGCTGAGAAGAGGGCTCCTAGTGTGAGGTGCTCAGGGAGTTGCTGGGAAGCCAGGAGGACATTTTCAAAATGCTTTTAATGGAGTGACATCGCTGCATGTCACACGGTGGCGCTTCTATTCAGGTGCGCTCAATAGTCTGGAAATTACGGTAGAAAATGGTCAGACAGAAGAGGGTTTTGGGGAAAAACTAAGTGTTTAGTTTCGATGCCATGTGTCAGAACAAGATCAAGGGTGTGATTAAAACAGTGAGTGGGTTTATTTACAGTTTGAGAAAAGCCACTTGAGTCTAATAATGAACTGAATGCACTGAGACTGTCACTGTCATCTACTTGAATATGTCACCCACTATGATTATTTTATCTGTACTAAGCACTAAATCAAAGTCTGAGAATTCAGTTAAAAACAAATTATCAATTAATAAATGGACATTTATTTGCTTTTAAATTGTGCATTAATAATTTTAATGTTAAAGTAGCAAAAATAATACAAGATTAGTAAATTTGCCAATTCATAATTCCCTTTCATTTAAAAATGTGTGAGCAGTGTGCCACCTGAAAAAGAAATCGAGCCAAGCCTCTGGTCAGCTGGAGGTGGCACGCTGCTAAACATACAGTATTGCTCAGTTAAAGTGATCAGAAAGTGGCAACTGTAACGCAACAGATGAATTGTGAGATGGAATATGATACATTGCACAGTGGTAAATAAAATGAGATGTATGTTTTTTCAATAGATGTTTGCAGTTTCACTTTAAAATTTAAATCTTATCAATCACTGAATTATTATCAACATGTTGACGATGTTGGTCGACTAAAACAAATCAGGAGGGTGGATGGACAGTTCAGGACCCTGTGTTTCTTAATAAGCCTAAGAAAACTCAGTCCTTGTGATAGTCTGTCCTGTGTTGTCTTTGTCTGTTTTCATGCTGTAACCAGTGGATTTCATTTATGGATAATAAAAGTGCAACTTGTTTACAAACTTTAAGCTTCCTAGCTAAAAATCATGTGCCATTTTTACTGCATGCTGCACATTTTAGATTTGTGGATGTTTTTTTCCTGCTCTTCCAGGCTGCTCACGGCATTGAAGTCAGACTGTTTGGTAGTGTAATCTAGCAAACATAAGTGTAAGAGCAAACATATTTACAAGTTCAGTCTGTCATAAAACAGTGCAAGTGCAGGCTGATTTGAAACTTTTGTAAATCACCTCATAATTACAACTAAATTACAGCTTTTGATGGAGATGAGATTTGCTGGGATGGGTTACATGGCTGAAACAACTTTATTTTCATATTGGTCAAGAACACACAAAAACCAGTGTCTATCTGAAACGGACAGGATATGGTTTGGAAAAAAGGCTGGTTTTGATGTAACATGTCAGTGATTTGGAGTAAATTAGATAAATGCACCAAACCATTGGGATGGTCCATTAAATACATTTTTTAATTGTACGTGTACTGTAACTACATCGAATTTTGACGTACTCTGTCCACGCTACACTGGCATCCCTGGACCTCCTGTGTCAAACATGTATCAAGCATCACTCCCTCGCTGTTTTGGAAATCTGCTGGGAGAGCAGATTGTGGGTGTGTTGTTACCATTTCAGAATCCACAGATGTGGCTTCTTATAGCTCAGAACATTTGTCAGTGGAAACTATTTGCCCATAAACTATTTCACAGCAGCTATTTTGACTTGTCATGACAGGAAAAGCACAGGTGGAATCAATTACAGTAACGATGGCTTAGCTTCATTACTGCAGGCACAATAGCAAAACCCTGGACATGACCAATCTAAATGATTGTCATTAATTCCACCTGCTCTTTTTCTGCTGTAATGTCAAAACATCTGCTGCAAAAAGGTCTATAAAGCATAAAAAAGTACAACAAAATGATTAAGATTTTTTTTTTTAAATGAAAGAATATACATATGCAAATATAATCAAATCACATACTGAATTAAAACCTAATGTATAAAAGAAATAAAAGTTTTAAGATAGGATTTCAGTGAAGGAGCCAACCCAACATGCTGCAGTAACTTGTTTCAGAGTCTGGGGGCTACAGCTGAGAAGATGCATCGCCTAGTTATACATCCCACCTCCTCCATGTTAGTGGTTGAGCCACACTAAAAATTCAAAGTACAAATACAATTTTTCACAGGCGATTTCTGTGGTTTTTGGTAGACATCACACTAATGTGTATAATCACTCATTTTTCTGGCGTTTGTTTTTAATAAGTTATTTGATGATATAACAAGAGGTGATTTGACATCTTTGATTGGCGGTCCGATGCCGTCGCTCCACTTCTCGTCACTACTGCGCAGAATCTGGTTGCAAAAAACCAAGATGGCAGCCAAGGTATTCATGATATTTTGGCTTCATTTTTGCATGGTGGAGGGAAGTGGTGATGCCATGTTCATCATATATATTTCAATGGTTATTAAGTTATCCTCATAACGAACAAAAACATTCAGGTTTTTTTTATTGAAAGTCTTCACCACAAAGCAAACAGCAATAAGAAACATTAACATTTTTTAAGGAAAAAAAAAAGTCCTTATGTAAAAACAAATCACAGCTCAATACAACTGAATTGGCGCCCTTTAGTATTTAAAATTGTACATATTTAGAAAATATCTGAGATGTGTGTGTGAACATGTTCTTGGACAAGACCAGTTATGAGCTATGCCATGTCAGGTTCCGTTGAGGTTTCTGTCTTCTGTAGTTTAACTGGAGTACCCGAGCAGTCTTCACCCTGAGCAAGAGAGCACAAGCAATTACGTTCTCACACTGTAGACGTGCTACAACATATAAAGATAAAATGGATCAAAATACAGTATGTATTTAAAAAAAAAAAAAAAAATCCTCTGAAAAATAAAAGCTGTCGCTAAGCAATTAAATGACCACTTACACAAGAATGACTTGTTTGAGCTAGAGAAGCCCAAATGCAATTTATTTGGCCCTGATACCGATCCCTTTAGCATTAAGAATCTGCTGATAATGATATTTACCCACAGAAAGAAAGAAAGTCACTTCGGCTTTTCCCATTTAGGGGTCGCCATGTCGAATCGTCACACTGACTCCCATGTTGTCGAACCCGGGCTGCAGCGGCGAGAGCGCTGCACCTTAACCGCTAGCCTACCAGGGATGGCACCCACAGAAATGTTCATTAAATATCTGATATATTGAATTTAATCTGGCACACTGTATGTTTCAGGAGTTTCCTGATCCAAATACTGGATCGTGGTAAAACAGTAAATCAAAACTACAGAGCCTTTAAAGGGAACAGCCATGTTCAGGACTGATGTAACAGATGATGCGTTTTAACTGTTTTTACTAAATGTATTTCTCTAGTTTGGCGGTGCTGGAACCACTGAGCTTTTGTTGTCTTACTGGATTCTATGAAGTGTTTTAGGAGCTTAGTTCAGAAAGAACTGACTTGAAGCTAGAAACAGATCTCAGGTCGTGGCTACGCAAGTGAAGCATGAGTGATAATGCCAGTGGACATGTGGGCAGGGTAGACAGCTGGACTGATTAATATAGCAGCTTATCGGTTGTAACAGAAGTGTTTCAATGATGCAACTGAATGGGCTCCAATACAGGACGGTAGTTCAAAATAAGGATCACAAATGGATGGGCTTTATTCTGGCTAATACAGTCCTATGAAATATGTGTGGATTGGCACTGATACAGATACTTAGTACTGGATTGGACCATCTATAGTTTGAAGATTTTCAGTCTGGCCCTAGAGCCCATCATAAAGTGATTTAATTCAACTCACCTCCTGTGAAAGGCTGTGTGTGGTGACAGAGGCTGGGGGATTCTGAGAGTCTGACAGGGTTGGGAAGTCCAGCTCAATGTCCATTACATCATCAAGATCCAGCTCCTCACTGGAGGAACAGAGGACACACACACACACACACACAAAACTACATGAACACAACAGTTGACCGACACTGTACACATGATGTTCAATAATAAAATGAACTGCTGGCTGCAGGACTAATTCTTACATGTTATCAAGGACTTTATCTTGGACCACCTCTGCTGGGGGGTCCCAGGCGTGCAGTTTGACCTTCCACAGTTTGATCTGCTGATCCCAGGAGCGACGGCTGTATTTCCTAAACTTATTGGGTGTCTTTGGGTGAACACCCGGCTGACGCATATGTCTGGATACAAAAGGGGAAAGAGAAAAACAATGCAAATAGAAGGATTAATGTTTTACTAATTCACAGACATGTGTGTCTAAATGCAGATCGGTAGTAGTGCCAGCACTGTGCTCTTCATCCATTCTCTCAGCACAAAAGTCAGCTTCTACTGTGATGTTTCAGGTCAAGCATACAGTACTGCAAACGTTTTGGACCCTTAAGATGTTTAGCTTCTTAGTCATCACACAGACCCATCAGGAAAACCTCCACACACTCCCAAATTCATTCTGCAGCATTAAAAACAGAAACGAGTAAAGCGAGGACCGGTATGGGCCCCACAGAGCCATGATCTCGACATCATGCAGTCTGGGATTAAACCCACAGAAAAACTGTAGCAAGTTCTCCAAGAGGCTTGGAATAACTAAACTGTTAGGTACCTTGAAAAGCTATATGCAAGTATAACCAAAGGAACAGCTGTTTAAAAAAAAAGAAAAGGTGGTCACACCAAATACTGACTTATTTAGTTTTCCTTTTACCTCATTTTGTATGATGTTCAATGTTAAATAAAACCTACTGGGACTTTGCAAGCACTCACTGTACCTTTTAATTTTAAACTTTTGCACAACACTGCATGTACTCATAATATTTTCAGAGCTGCATTGATTGCGTTTACTTGCATACACCTACTTTGGAACTTCCTTGATGTATCGGTCATAGGCCAACGTATTTTTGCCGTAGTTGATCTGTTTCTGTCGCCGTAGCAACACAGCTTCGTCTGTCTCCATGGTTTCTCCTTCTCTGGAGTCGCAGCTGCAGGAGACGGACATGGTTAGTGACATCACACCCCTTGGTTCCATATCCCATGAAGTAATGCTACTCATTGGCTTGTCGTAAATCACGTTGAATAAACAAAATGACTGGCCCTTTCCGGTGATACCACATTAGCCTACTTGCTAGTCTCTGCAACAAACATTTGTGAAGTAGTAGGCTCCTACAGTGTTTCAGCTGACGTACAGACATGCTCACATTATCCTGAAGAATTTTTTTGATACATTTGACAATTCATTTTCCCCTCATTGATTGCAAGCTGGCCAGGCCCTGATGCAGCAAAGCAGGCCCAAATCATGTTTCCTCCACCATACTTTACGGTTGGGGTGATGTTTTCATCATAATATGCAGTGCCCAAATAGTTCAGTCTTAGTTTCGTCAGTACACAAAATGTTTTGCCAGTACCGCTGTGGAGTGTCAATGTGCTCTTTCGCAAACTTCAGGCGTGCAGCAATGTCCTTTTTACTAAGCAGCAGCTTCCTTCGTGGTGTCCTGCCATAAACACCCTGAGGTCATTTTGACTGGGTGTCCACTTCTTGGTGGAGTAGCCACAGTCCCAAAGTGTCTCCATTTGTAGATTGTTTGCCTAACTGTAGGCTGGTGAATTTCTGAAGTCTTTGAAATCACTTTGAAACCCTTTCCAGCTTTATGTAAATCAACAATTCTTGATCGTAGATCCTCTGAAAGCTCTTCTTGGTGAGGCATGGCTCATATAAGCATATTCTTCTTGTGTGGAGCAAACTCAAAAGGTTTTAGTGGTTTTTAATCAAAGTAGCTCTAGTCCACACCTCCGAACTCATTTTCTTAACAAGACTCCAGGTATGCTAACACCTGACTCCAATTAGCTTTTCTGACGTCATTAACTCAAGGGTTCATATACTTTTATCAGCAGCACTATGAGGTTTTTATGGTTGTTCTAAATAAAGACATGAAAGATCAGATTTTTGTGTGTTTTTAATATTTGGCACATTGTATTCGTCAGTACTCTTGACTTAGATGATCAGATCACATTTTATGACAAATTAATGCAGAAAAGCATGAAATTCCAAAAGGTTCACATACTGTTTCTTGCCACTGTGACTGTAGTACATTTATTACAACTCACAAGCCTTATCAACAAGACTGCTTTGAAAGAACACATTAAAAACTTTTTTAAGGGTAGTAGAAAGGTATTGAAAAATATATTTAAAAAAAGTCAGAAATATAACCAAAAAAGTCTTTTTTTTGTTTGTTTTTGTTTTTACCATGGCCCCAATCCTATTCCATACATTTGTGAAAAAACTGTAACCAGTTGTGTAAAAGCAGGCACATAATATGACACTTCATGTGGATTGCAGGCCCCTGAATCGAACTGAATCAAAATTACATTGTAGCATACTTCTATGGCATATTTACACCTCTACTTTTAATGGTTGTAAAAAAACAAAAACAAAAACAAAAACCCCTATATGAGATGATAACATAACAGACATACCTTCCAGAGGAGCCAGATGAGGTCTTTCTCTCTCTCTGGGCAACCTCTGCACCCAGTATCCTCCTCCTGTAACTGAAAAGTTACACAGTCAGTGAAGGCTGGCACTCAATTAAGAGTGTGTTTTGAATTTATCAAAGGCACTCAAACTGAAGCAGAGATTCGTTACCGCTGCATGTCTCTATGTACATCCCTCCTCATCTCGTCATCCTCCACCTGGCTGCCCCAGTCATCATGTCTACCACGGCGAGACACTGGGCCTGCAGACTCTGGAGTGGTGAAACTAGAGGGGGGTGCACAAGGGGTACGTACCAGCATAAACACACTGAAGGGAAAACAAGTTCTTGTTGCCACAATTAACAGAAGTTGTAGTTGTTGCCACACAACTGGGCAATTCAAGTTTTTTTCTTTCAAATACAATTTTGGCTTCCAATGATTGTGAACACAAGAGAACTGAGATAAAAAGACAGATTTTTCAGCATTTCATTTTGCAATTCAGAAAGAACTTTACAGAGTTAGTTTCCAGAGCTTTGCAGTGAAACCATGTGATGAGCAGTATAAAAAGAGTGTAGAGCAGAAAGACATGCAAAACAAGCATGAGAACATTCCATAGAACAATCAATCATTTTCATAATAACTGCTGTCACAATATGACTCATAAAACATTAAAGGAGTCACCATGAAGTTAATACACATAAGCCTATATGAGCCTTTTGGACAATTCCTTCATTAATGTGTACATTTCTTAAAATAAACTTCAACTTCTGCATATAAATGTAGATCTACTTCTACTGTAGGTGTATTCTCTTACCTGGTATGTCTGTTGTCAGAGGTTCTGTAGATGCCGTCAGTGTCCCCGCTGTTTTCTCTGTCACTGTCCCCTACTTCTCTGTTGGCCCGCAGGTTTCCATCGATCCCTCTCTTCCTGCAGTGGGACCACCGAGGCAGGTCAATGCTCCTACGTAGGGAAGACACAAATAACTGGATTTAAATCCATAAGCATATAGTTCTTTTTCGCGGAGCAAGGGTCAACAAATAGATGAACATTCTTGTTCATCTATTTGTTGTGTGAAAAATACGTCTACAAACGCGCTCTGTCTGAATCGGCCTTAACTGAATCTGTGAGTGTGTGATTCAGCTCGTTGTTTATGAGCTTCCTGACTGAGTCACTGATATGCCTGATTAAATGATTGATTTTTCTCTTTGCCTTGGCGGGGCGCCACTGAGAAACGCTCGATCATAAGACTTTGTTGATCCCGGGTAGAAACGCACAAGATTCCCAGCAGTAACATATTTTAAATTAGAATTATTAGCTCCAAAACAGCAGATATGGTTTTTAAAATGTGTTCAAGGATGTACATAATAATGCAGCTGCACCTTTACTTCTGGTACTTAAAGTATATTTTGATTGTGAATGTGACTACTTTAGTACTTAACATTTTGAATGCAGGACTTTTTCTTGCAATAGAGTATTTTAACACTGGTATTGCTACCAGTGTTGAATACAGAGAAGTGACAGAACTAAACGGATCGTCCAGACTGACAAACTAAGGTGCAATCGACATGTCAGAAGAAACAGGTGTCACATTTAACATAAGTAATGCTGCGATTTATACTTACCTGTGAGTGATTAGCTGTCGGCCTATATGGCACAAGCAGGGCAGAGGATGGCCACAGTTTGGCACATGCAGACTATTCGAGAGCCCCGCGCACAGCTGATGTGTTCACTGTTGCTGGTTTGACTTGTAAACCAACATGAAGCAGGAAGAACTCTGTACGTTTCGAAGTCGGTTTAACACTTGGGCACAAGAGCTTCTATTTTATATACCTTTAAGAGGCTTCTGACATGTCATTCTGCTACACCGGGGAATAAAATCAGTCTAACATTTGATCGTGCGGGTAACATTTGCCACCGTAGGAGAAATGTTTACATGACCCTCGAAGAAAGCAACAACTTCACCGCGCGCGTCACACTGGCGCGCCGGTACTTTATCAAGTAGTACTACACCTGTGCTAGTGACAGATACACCGACTGACTGACTGACTGAAGGTGATATTAGCCTCACTGGAAGTTCACTTTCAATCTGAAATCAATTCTTGCACTGTTTTACCGTATAGCACAAAGACGATAAAACACCGTGGTGTCTGGCTAGACCGTAGAAGCTAACGTTAGCAAAGAACACATCCAGCCTTGGTCTAAAATAATGAGTCACTTATACATAGCGGCACCCATATAGCATCATTCGAAACAAGACCTTTTAGCTGAACTAAGAGCCATCCGTCGAATTGACAAAGACACAGTGTGAGCTGTAGTCACGGTGTTTTTAGTGGGCCAAAATACATTCAGACGTACCTTTTATCATGTTCGCTATTGGGAGCATCACGTCGTCTGCCTCTGACCCAATCAGACATTTTCTCGATAATAATAAATACCTTGAACAGTAAAGTATAGCTTATTTGTGGTAAGCTAAAGGGATCTGTATAGGTCTCACAGCCTACAAATACCCGCCAACACTGAAAGACGCGCGACCACAAACGAGCCAACAAGTCAGATGACCGGAAGAGGCGGACTGTCGTCTTCTTCTTCTTCTTCTTCTTCTTTTTCTTTTTGTGTGTTTTTATTAAACAACAATGCAAATCAATACAAGATTTTTCAGTACAAATTGTTGCGACCGATGTATAACAGCGTGCATTAAGAGGACAACAGGACATAATATAACAAAGTGAAATTAATAACAGAACCAAACAAGTGAGAACTATGAAAAGAAAAAGAACAATATATAAAATACAAAGAGGTAAGGCTATTCTGATATAAAATTAAAACGTTTAAGGTCAATGGTTTTGGTTCGTTTTTTGTTAGGGTGGTTTAATTGTGACAGTGTTTGGAAATAATTGTTAAGATCAGATTGTTTAAAAGTTGAAAAGGATGGTGATTTTTTTCAGAAATTTCATTTTATGGATGAAGAATTTGGCCAAAATAATGAACAGATTAATAATAGAGAAACGGGGGCTTGTCATAATATATTATGTCTTATTTTTTTAAGTACAATTTACCAAGATAATTTTTGAGATCAAAACAAACGTCAGTCCAAAATACTGTCACATGTTCACATTGAAAAAAAAGATGCTCTAGAGTTTCTAGCTCACTGTTGCAAAATGAGCATTTTTCTTCTATGTTTGGAATGTATTTACAAATAATAGAGTTTATTGGGTAAAATGTACTGTATGTAAGATTTTAAAGCAAAGCTCCTTAGCTTTGTTGGACAACACAAATTTGTAGGGCAAAGTAAAAACAGTGATCCATGTTCTTCCATCAAGAGTCTGGCATACCCATTTATGTTTAACAGCTGTTGTTGTTCTTGGAATGAGGGAGTTTCTTATAAAGATGTTGTTGAATTTTTTATAAAAAAATAGAAGTGCCATTAACAGCAATAGCTAAATTGATATAGTTGTGTGTGTTTGAGAAGGAGTATGCTAATCAGAGAATGCCAGATGGAAATGCATTAACAGTATTAAACGCATGCTGGGAGACAGGAACCCTGTACTTAGCTAAGAAGTGCTCATATGACAATAGAACTCCATCACAATAAAGCTTCGTCTTCTTCTTCTTCTTCTTGGCGGTTGGCAAACTAGCATTCAAGTGCATTACCACCACCTACTAGATTGGAATGTGATATGGGAAGGCAGAGGGGCGCTGATGATCTTGCTGGCTGTTTTCACTATGCGTTGCAGAGTCCTTCTGCATAAACTGAGTTGCCTCTTACTGAAGTTTTAAAAGCCCATTTATGTATCCATTGCTTTACCCTCTATATTCTCTCTTGCATTTTCTATATATCCCCTCATCCACATATGATTACTTCCCTATACCTTGTTTTATCTGTTCAAAACATTTTTAATCACAAGATCTAGGATGACTTACAGACTGTAGTTGACTTTCCAGATGCAGGTGAAGACAGCAGTAATTTCATGCAGCATATAGTTTGTACACGGCAGCTTGGGACTTTGGAACAGGCCATAGACTTGTCATATCAAGCTGCTACAGTATGTTTTTATTTTTATATATTCATACTTTTATTTACTTTCCAATAAACTGTGTGTGTTGGTATTGTTTTTAGTGTAGTGTTTCTTTGTAAAATAATGAGAAAAAATACTATAGAAATACTAATAATGACAAAACTGTTATTGTATCTTAAATTGTATGATATTATATACTGTAACTGTGGAACTGAAGAAAACTAAATAATTGATTATTTCACACACGTCAGCGCTCAAATGTAAGTGTGCTCCTGAGTGTGCATAGATTCTGTTTTTACCTAAGGACATATACCAGATAAGAAAACACGGGTGAATGTCAGTATCTTTGTGAAAACTTCCTAAGTGGGTTTTATGAACAAATTTGTTCTTAAAAATGGATGGTGAATATGACCCATTGTTAATACTAGCCTCTTAATATAGCCACAGGGGTTGCAAGCCAGTGACTTCTGTGCCAGGCCCAAGCCGGGTAAATAGAGAGGGTTGCGTCAGGAAGAGCATCCGGTGTAAAAACATGCCAAATTTAAACATGCGAATCATCAGTGTGAACCCCATACCGGATCGGTCGAGGCCCGGGTTAACAACGACCGCCACCAGTGCTGTTGACCTACAGGGTGCTGGCGGAAATTGGACTACTGCTGGTCGAAGAAGGAGAGGAGGTAGAAGGAGTCATAGACTGAGAGAGAAGAGGAAAGGCAGGAGTATAGGTCTGAGAATAGGGACTCTTAATGTTGGCACAATGACAGGGAAAGGTAGAGAGCTGGCGGACATGATGGAGAGAAGGAAGGTAGATATACTGTGTGTGCAGGAGAGCAGGTGGAAGGGTAGCAAAGTGCGTAGCATTGGAGGGGGGTACAAACTTATATTATGGTGTGGACAGGAAGAGAAATGGGGTAGGAGTGATCCTGAAGGAGGAGCTCATGAGGAATGTCTTAGAGGTGAAAAGAGTGTCAGACAGGGTGATCAGTTTGAAGTTGGAAATTGAAGGGGTAATATTGAATGTAGTCAGTCGTTATGCTCCACAGGACAATATTCAGAAGAAGAGGCTAGCTAAAAAGAAGTGGGACATAGAAAGGACTGAAGACAGTAGACAGGATTACAAGAAATTGCAGCGTAGAGTGAAGAGGGAGGTGGCAATGGCCAAACAGAAAGCATATGATGAGTTGTATGCCAGGTTAGACATGAGGGAAGGTGAAAAGGACTTGTACAGATTAGCGAGACAGAGAGATAGAGATGGGAAGGATGTGCAACAGATAAGGGAATTAAAGACAGAGATGGAAAGGTGCTAAAAAGCGAGGAGAGTGTGCAGAGAAGATGGAAGGAGTATTTTGAGGAACT